AAAAGGTTTGAAATAGAATCAGGTAGAAAATTCATAATTGCTGAAGATCCAGAGAGGTAAGAACACTGCTTGTCAAAACCTTTGTACGTGCATCTGTAATAACGTTGGACAAGGATGATGTTACCGCCCAAATCATAGACCATTCTCGGGTTCAGATAGCTCTTTCTGTTAATCACATTCGTCCATTTTTGGCCAGTCATCACGGCACCGTGTTTAGGACATCTTAATTGCAATTGGAAATGTTCGATGGGCGCCCAAATGAAAAGTTTTGGCAGCAAAAAGTTTCTTTGTTGAACCAGAAATATTTCTCCATCGGCAGCCATTCTTGCCCTTGTTGGTGGTTGAATTACATGATCAAACCGGTCGGCTTGCATATCTTGTTGAAACGAGCACAAAATCTTCTCTACGTAACTTTGTACTATGTCATCAAGGACAATAGAATTTACCATGAAAAAATTCAGGTTTAGAGCAAGTAAAAAATGTATGTGCGCCATTCTGTGCCGCCTGAGATGATAACTACCAATGATAAAAATCTACATTCATACTGCAAACAGCCCCTTTCACTTTTTGTTGTAGAAATTTGGGTGTAATTATTATTTTAGTAAACGTGCTTGTTACCGTATTACGCATACGTTAGGAATTTGAGGATTATTAAAGTCACGTTTTAAAATAGATACTAAAGGTTGAACAGTTGGTCGCTCAAAGAGTGGCCAGGCACTATTTAATGTTGTAAAAAGCAAAATGGTTCCTGTGATGGTTGAACTGAATAGAGTTAAAAATTTTTTCTTAAGGAACAATGGTGTTACAGCCATACTAAGTAAAACAATTAAAATGATGACTGCGAAAGGAGGCATCGCACTCTCGGACCAAAGATCACGATCTTTTAAGGCTATTAAGGCTGCAAAAAACAAGAGTCCTGCAACAAAAGAAAACCCAAAGCGTATAGACTTTGAAGGGGGAGAATCAAAAATTTGATCTAGGTAAAATCCACACAAAAGAACCATTGCTGGAAATATAGGAACGATATAGGGGATTAGTTTAGAATTGCTTGCAGAAAAAAAGATAAAAATAACACTGATCCAAAGCATCAAAAAAGAAAGGATTTGGTTGTGACGGTTTTGCCATGCTTTTTTTAGGGCAGGAAAGAGAAGAGCCGTCCAAGGAAAAAATCCGCCGATAATGATTGGAACAAAAAACAAAAAGGGTTGTCCTCGCCGATGAACCGTTGTTAAAAATCGAGTGAAATGCTCATGAATAAAGTAAAAATCAAAAAATTCAGGGTTTCTGAGAGATGCAAGAATATGCCATGGGGCAGAAATTAAGAAAAACAAACCGATTCCCCATGGTGTAAAAGCAAGTTTTAACGCGCCAAAATTGCGATGAATAAGGCACCAAAAAAGAATTACACCTCCTGGGAGCACGGCACCAATTAAGCCTTTTGTAAGGGTTGCAAAAGCGCAGTTCGCAAAAAAGAGTAGGAGAAGCCATCTCTGACTTTTTCGGGTTTGAGCTTTGGTTGCGAGCAAAAAACTTAAGAGAGCGCTGGAAACAAAAAATGAAACAGCCATATCCAGGATAATGATACGCGTATGGGCATAGTAAAGAAGGCTGGTTCCTAAAATAACAGCAGACAGGATGCCTGTACGCCTAGAAAAGAGAGAATATCCTGAAATATAAGTAATCAAAACGCCTAATAATCCGAAGAAAGCAGGCCAGAGACGTAAAACGGTCTCATTTTCGGGGGCTATTGAAACAACGATTGCTTCCAGCCAATAGAAAAGTACAGGTTTTTCAAAATATTTAATGCCATTTAATCGTGGTGTAACAAAGTCACCTGTTTCTATCATTTCGCGTGAAATTTCTACATATCTGCCTTCATCAGGAATAGACAGAGTTCGGTGACCGAGCATAAAGGCAAAAAAAACGCCAAACGCTAAGATCAGTAGGAGGATGTCTTTACGATAAAAGAAATTTTTCTTTTCTGGGGCCATAACAATATTTTTGTGACTTAAATTTTGTATTGTTCTATAAACGATTTTATCTTTTTTGTCATGAGATGAAAGAAACTCTTTTTATCCTGTTTTAACTCTGAGGGAATGAATGCTAAGACGCACGTATGGTTGGATTATGAAGTACTCTTCCCACCCGCGGGCACGCTGGGTATTGTCGGCTGTCTCTTTTGCGGAAAGTTCTTTTTTCCCACTGCCGCCAGATCCGCTTTATATGGCCATGGCCTTAAAGGATAGGACTAGTATTTGGCGGCTTGCTTTTTTGTGTACGATCACATCTGTTGTTGGAGGGTATATTGGGTACTTAATTGGTTATGGACTATATGAAACTTGGGGCCAAAGCATTATAGAGTTTTATGGCCTGAAAGAATCATTTGAAAAACTTCGAGAAGATTTTTCTCAATGGGGTTTTTGGATTATTGCCTTAAAAGGACTGACACCTATTCCTTATAAAGTTGTGACCATTGCAAGTGGAGTGGCTGCATTTGATTTATGGACCTTTACATTTGCTTCAATTATCGCGCGAGGATTTAGGTTCTTTTATGTTGGTCTTCTTTTGTGGTACTTTGGCCCACAGATACGAGACTATATAGAACGTAACCTAACATTAGTGACAACAGTTGGTTTGGCGTTGCTGATAGGGGGATTCATTGTCATTAAGTATCTTTGGTGAGAAAATTTTTAAAATTTGGCACTCATCTCCCATGCTTTTGGGGATTGTTTCTGTTGGCTCTATTTGTGGGTTCTTATTTTTTGAGCACGTTTTAGGTCTTCAGCCTTGCCCTTTATGTCGTATGCAACAGTCTGTTTACATAGGTTTGCTTGTTATTACAATTTTGACTTTTGTGATTCCAACGAAACGGCTTTTTTTATTCAGGCTTGCTGTATTACTTTTTTTTGCAGGTGGGGGGATTGCATT